AAATCTGGAGACTTGTAAACAAAATGACGTCACAACTTGTGCTAAATATTCTTGAATTTCTAGAGAAATACGTTTTTGAAACGAATTTAACTGTGATATTCTTATTCATGCCAATAAAATACACATTTTTAACATTAAAATTTTTTCATGTCATATACACTTTAAGTCGCCTTAAGTTGCTTTAAATTACGGCGACTTAGGGACCCGGGGTACGCCTAGTCTTATTGTTTTAGTAGAAACTTAATAACATTCTTTCTTCGATTCTATACCAGTAGTTATTCATTCGGTCGGTCGGTCAGCCAGTCAATTATGGTAATTGAACTGAGTGGAGTGCAATTTGGACCAAAATCATACGAGTGATTACAAAATTGCACGACCGCGTATGGTTTCCCCCCTATTGATTGCAAATTCCGTCTCTGACTTCATTTTTGCGTATTTACATCTACCAAGAGAATATGAAGTAAGAGAGCACATCTCCCATACATGGGCCTGTAACCATGAATGTTTTTTGAAAATCTATTTTTACCTCCGCCCGCAAGCCTGAGCTATTTTTAGTATGCGATTCCTGATTGTTCAGAATTGTAGTGACTTCGATGTGAGAGAAAAATGTTTAGTTTCCGACGAGAAAAATGTCTTCAAACTCAGTAAAAAGTTGAAATTAAACAATCATGTATTCTTCATAGACGAATTAAACAATAAACTTAACAACTGATAGAAAAGAACATCGAGAACGATCAAGTCAGGATGGTTTTCAGTATACGAACAAGCTAAAAACTGCGAAGACGCCAGGGAAGGAAACCGCGATAAAAAAATGCGATAAAAATAGCGAAGATCCTAAAGTGAAGACAGCGTAGCATTTTCGATAGTAAATAGAGTTTAAGTTCAAGTGATTATGAAGATGATGAAGTTTTTGAACTTTTGATAATTGAATTCAACAAGTTTGCTCATCGAAAATCCTCTTTCGTAAACGAGTCCAATCTACCTTCATTTTAGATGTCCATTAGATAACTTGTCATTTTGAAAACGTTGAAGTTCAAGTCAGAAGCACGTGTTCTTGGGATAAGCCAAAATTTACTGTATTTCAGTTTAGGTGGAGAATTGTGGACAACTTCGGACAACTGACATCTACAACTGCAATCAACTCCAAAAATGGGTCTCAATCGGGCGACCACTGTTTTGATTTAAAAACAAGCTTGAATGATGTTGCCTCGGCTGAGTATTTTTTACATGTGCTGTTTATGGATTTCTTCAAATACCTTTCAGAATTTCTCAAGAATTTCCTCTAACACGATTTCTCGTAAAATCGAATAAAGTTTGGTTTGTCAACTGCATGAAGCTTGCTTTGTCACTGCCGATCTATTGTGCACCCATGACGTCACTACAATCTGACCTATCAGGAATCGCATGCTAAAATAGCTCGGGCTTGCGCGCGGAGCTAAAAATAGATCTTCAAGAAACTTTCATGGGGCACAGGGATGTGCTCTCTTACTTCATTTAGTCTTGCATCTACACATCTACATTAATCACTTCACTTAATATTCCTTTGTTAGGGCAACATCGTTTGCTGAACGCCTTCGGCTAGGCATAGCTGTGATCCATGGAGAGCAAAAAGAGACAGATTACGATCAGCACGATGGTCGACAGTCCCCTCCCCCTAGGGCTCATTCGTCAACAAGTTTTTCCTTTGATATGTTCAATGAAAATGAAGCATCCCTCGATGTACCAGGTATACTATATCATTGATTGAAAATGGATGGCTGTATTGCTTCTATGCAAACCAAACAAACAGCAGACATAAAGACATAGACCGCCACCCGGGCCAACACTCAGGGTCTTAAAAAGTAAGAGTTAATTACCGAGAACGGAGGCAATAAGCCATGTAAATCGCGAGGGCCGCAGGCCCGAGGGTTGTATAGGCTTATTGCCAACGTTCGAGGTAATTAAGTATTTTATTATTAATTAATTTGCGGATACAAAAATTTCCGGATACGTGTAGACGGGACCTCAGGCCGTTAGTTTTTCTTATTGAGCATGCGCAAAATCGTGTTTACGTCATCGTATTCGAAAATTTCCACTCTGGAGACCGTTTTCGAAAATTTCCGGATACGGATACAAAAATGTCCGGATACGTGTGGACGCAACCCGTATCCGCCAAAAAGCATTTGCGGATATAAAAATTTCCGGATACAAAAATTTTCGGGTGCGTATGGACGGGGCCTCAACCACCATTATTCGGTTTTGGCCAAGAGTAAGTAGTGATTGTTTACAATAATCTGTAATAAATATTCTCTTTAATCATGTTCTATACATTTCATCTTGCTTTAACTGGTCATAGTTAATGGAGCGAAATGGTTTGGAAACTCCATATAACAAAGCTATTGTTTTGCGTTTGATGTTGAACCCTGCACAATGGACCAAAGCAAGTATGGCTGAAAATACTCATTTTCCTTATTATTTTCATGCATGAACATTTTGAAAGTGAAAACTTTCATTCGATGACCACAAACTATGCGAATGAATATTCCGCGCAGATACAGTAAAGAGGCTCTGGATAGTTTTGATCTGACACACCTAGCCGAATAGAAACGGCTACAACTTCGTCTTGAATAACTCGATCTGCAAGCACTTTTCACACAATGTCAGGAAAGGATTAGAAGGTTTCAAAAATGAAAAATTAGTTTAAAGCGGCCTTTTCATTATGACGTAATG